GGATTTTGGATTGAGAACACAACAAAACAGTAATACTCAGGGATTTAGGAATAATCAGACGCCTACTAATATCGATGATTCGTTTTTAGATCGAATCAATGAATTGTCAAACGAATTCAATCAATGGCACCAGCGTGACCAAGAAGAACAACAACGTCGTCTATCATTTTATTTTTAGGTCGTATGTTACTAATTTTATGCTTTATTATAGTCCATGTATGTTGATATACTTATTCCATGATAATTCTATGTTTATCTTTTTGTGTGATATAAATTAAATGCTGAATGACGATTCATGCAGGAAAAAAACATATCTAATATTCGCATATTCATTCAAAAACATGAAAATTTTTAATGGAGTACCTTCATTTCTTATTGAATTGCTAAAGAACAATATTTATAATGAATTTTAATAATTTTTTCAAATTTTTTTGAAGCTTTATTCTGACCGATTCACCCGATTCTCGATCCGAATCGCTGATTCGTCGATCCGGATCGGTTTTTTGGATGCCCGATCTGGATCACCGATCTGTTTTTTAAACCATTGATCTAACGTATTGGACCAATCAATAGTCAAATCTTGATAACGTTGGTGTAGTTCCTCCACTTATCAAATTTCCCATCCATACCTGAGGAATTCACAGTCATTTTTCTTGATCGAGTGGTTCTTTCGGATGTATTTTCTTTCATAAAATTTTTTGCAGGTTTTTCCTCGAAGGAAAAAACAAAGTGACTAAAGTGAGCATAATACCTTTGATTACCAATTAGTTGACTTTTCACATACATAAGAGCAATTTGATTTTCAAAAAATCCTATAAACAAATATAGGAATTGTATTTGTTAGATCTCAAAGTTCCCATTACTGTCTTCATATGATTAATGTGCTACCAAGATAAAAAAATAGCAACAAATCAAACTTCATAAATTTACAAAACCTCAATTGATTTCAAGAACTTGACCTTCCAAGTAAAAATAAATTATTACGAAAATGCAGAAATTTGAGATTACATACAATTTGAAGAACGGCTTGCCAAAGCTGCACGAGATTTTCTAACTCCCAAACGTAAGACCATGAACTTTCTTTCTTTTTTTTCTTTTTTTTTATTAAATTCCTTTTTTTTTTGGTTATTTCAGATAAGTACAATGCTCTAGATTTCCACCAATGGCTATCTCAAACTGAGGTCAGGATCATCTTCATCATCTATATCCTGCTCATTTGAAGGCCTGATCCTCTTGCCGTCCCTTGGAGCTGATCTGCCCTTCTTAGGCTTTCCCCTGTTATGAGCCGAGTTTTCTTTTCAGGAATACAAGCCCAAATTTTAATCACAAGCGAATAAGTTGAAAAATAGTTGAAATATCAATGGCACCCAATTTTTTTTCCTTATTTTTTGAAGCACAACCCAATAAAGAATTTGCTGAACTAATCGATCCTGATATGTTCTCTTAAATTGAATCACAAAATATTAAAAGAAGATTTAATTGAAATAATTATTTATTCGTGATGTTAGTGTGGGATTCAAATGACCAACATTTCAGAACCATCTAGTTGTACAAGTCTCACCAACAAGTAAATAACTTACTGTCCATTTGCTGGTGTTCCTGAACCCTTTGATCTACCAAAACCATAATCTCCTCTTCCATCTATCATGTGTAACAAAAACAAAATATTTAAATAGTCATAGCAAGATAAAAAAGTCATGAGCTATAGATAAAACTGGTTTCAGCATAACTTCTCACCATCTCTTCCAGCCACATGTTCTTCTACCTGATACTGATCAAATGGAACATGTTAGAAACCATAGACCCTGCACAAACCCCTAACTAACAGCTTGGCTACAAAGCCTTGGCCTAGAAGTTGTGTCAATTACAAAAGGGATACATATAAATCCCTATAAACTTCTCATACAAAAGGGAAGTACTATATAGTCTTTTCAAAATTTCCAAATAAATAACCCATGTTGACAAGAACCAGATAAAAGCAGTGCTTTAAAAAACGGTGATTCGGATGGTCAATGGGAACTTTTGAGATTTAACAAATTCAGTGGGTAGGCGATCTGGGTCCCTGGACCCCGAAATCACCCAATTCCCATTATCTTTTTATTTTTTACTATTATTTTTACCAATTCCTACTTATTCCCTAGATAAAAATTGTCGATCCAGATCATAACAACAGGTGACAGAATGGGCAATCTGATCCGGGTTTTAAAACACTGGGTAAAACCAACACAACACAACAAAAACTTGGAGAGCTAGAAATGATGCCCATATATATGAATTTAATCTGGATAGAGACCTGCAAAATTAGAAACCAAGGCCTTTGTTTTTTTTGTTAAAAGTAACAACTTAGAACCTGAGATTTTTTGACATCTCTATGTCAGAGAAAAACAAGCTTCACCATACTATTTTGCCTAAAGAAGACCATAAAGACACAGACACCAAGCTTCATTAGGCATCTTTTATTTTCACTACAATAAGCATTCTTTTTTTTTAACTTACAGTAGAATAAGATGCCTGCATTTGCATCAAAACCAGTTGGGGGAAACCATGAAATGACCACTAATATGCCAAGTCCAGTATACTTACTGCAGGCGAGGTAACTGATGATAAAGAGAAGAGTCTATCTTCAGGCTGAAACTTTCTGGAACGCTTCAGGCTGAAAGAGAACTTTCAGATTAGTTTTGTCATTGCCATAATTTACATCAAATTTTGATATCATAGTATATGAAGCAACCACAACATCTACATGGTACACAATAATCCAATAGATTATGGAAAAAGCATAGCCCCCAGCTTCATCACCATCCCTTGCAATGGAAGGAGATGAAGAGTGCGCCCCACCATTGGGATCACATCATATTTCAGTGGATCTCACTCCCTCTCCATCACCATCCATCATTTCAATAAATTGATGACCAATAGCTCATGGTTTATCGAGAGGCTGTTGAACTGTATTATACTCCCCCTGTCTGTAAAGCATCGAGATATCCAGTACCCACAATTTACGGTTAGTACTGCATAATCATATTCTTATTTTAACACGGTAATATGGCAATCCGGTAATATGGCAATCCAAATATTCATAATCCCTCGAAGAGCGTAGAGATGCCACCAAAACCCCTGCAAGGCCGAAACTTTACTGCAGGCTAACAAAATTGAAATAAATGACTTGAGGTCCTTATCAACTACCCATACACCCCAATACCTTGCCTAATACTTGCCCAATTGATGATATTGGCCTTGATTGTATCAATCAAGGCGTACATTTTCAAACGGTGGTCCTTAAAAGTTTGTTGATTATGTTCTAGCGAAAGACCCCACAGAATAGCCATAATGAGACTACGTCTCTGGGGAAAGGGGCAGGGCAGATTAAACCAGCATTTGAAAAGACCTTTCACAGTCTGCACATTACATGTCAAACAGGCTTACAGTGCAGGAAGAGGTGCTGGACAGATTCATGGTCATATTTGCACAGTATGCATCTATTTGGTACCACAGTGCGTGAGGTGTTTAATAGTAAGGGCCTTATCATGAATAGCAAGCCACGTAAAAGACCTGGCTTTCGGGGGATGGGTAGAGCCCATGGCTTGCTAACAAGCGACCCCAGCAAATACAGGTCAACTAATACTGTGTAAAAAGACATAACAACGAGTTCATATTCACCTTAAGGATAGAATCATAGATAGCCCAGATCATGGAGCCTTCTCCACTGGTCGATATGAGAATAGTATTAAGCAGTGCCATAGAAAGATGGCTGACACTTCATTGCTCAAGTTGCTGCACGTGGGTTTTGGTGAGGCTCCACCACCATAACCCAACAAAGCTTTTATTGGCCACTCTCAACTTCCAAACCCCCAACCTTGCTCTTTGATTGGTAGGCATACTCTGTCCAACCTTACAAGATTAATTCGTGATCCTCATCCAAAGGAAGTCGCATTGCAGCCCATCAATCAGAGCTGCCACATTGGCAGGGAATGTAAAGAGGAAAGTTTTTAGTGTCGGCCAACTTATGCGTCCACCCTGGTTTTCCATGGATTTAAGATAAGACACACATCCCAATTCCCTGCAAATGTGTTGGTGCCTTAGTTCCATACATTTGCATCTCCAAAAATAGTGCAGATCTTATACCTAACTCACCATCTTAGTGATTTGTACACTGCCCCTTTGAGGTGCTATTTTTTGTAATGTCTTCCTTTCCTTAATACAAGTCAATTTTCTCAAAAAAAAACAAAAAAAAGTGCAGATATGATGATCTGTGAAAAACTAAAATGAACGGTCCAAAGAAAATTTTCAAAGAAGATTATTTGAAGGGTTCAAATTTTTGCTTTTGTTTTTTTCAGATTCATGGACGTGGTGGTCGAGATTATCAACCTGTTGAAATCTGGATCAAAATTCATCTCTAAGATGGATTTT